ACACACACACACACACACAGTTCACGGAAGCAGAGACAACATTCTGTACGGTATGACGTAAGACTCACCCGCCACATCTCCCCACACACTCCGGTCACAACAGAAGATAAGTCCAACCTTGGACCACCTTCCGACTGCCCAACTCCCCACTCCACTAAATCCTTTCTTCAAAGTTATAGATCTACGCCTTCTTTTAGTTTTAGTAAGAGTTTTACGGCACTTGCAACACAATAAGGTCATAGAAGTGCCGAAGATTAGAGGTGTTACAAGAGAGTAACAAACACAAAAAAGAAAGACGGCAGATGTTAGGTAGGAAAGAAGAAGCAAGCCACACGAGAGCGCCCGCCAACCACCCACTATTACGTCTTCGTTCCCCATCCTGGCTCACAACAGACACCATCACTTTGCTCCCTCCTACACACATGAAGTGCCGGCTAGACAGGTGTTCAACGAGATATACACGAGACAGGTATGGTCAGCGACAGTGACCAACAATAATGTTCCCCCAGACGACCCTAAGGTCAAGCGTGAGGTTACCCAGAGATTTCGGCAACTTGGAAGAATGCTTTAATAATTTAGTTGGGTTGGGTTGTGTTTTTCGATCAGACACATGCCGAGTGTTTTCAATTGCAGCGTCGTGACCTCAGATACAAACACAGAACGTTCAAATTTGTCCATATATAGATTTAAAATGTAGCAAAAACCACAAATATATTATGTCAATTGTCAACTTCAAAATTGACCCCACATGAAAGGGCAGGAGGTGAGAGGCAAAACAGTTGGAAGGTGGTCAGTGTACGGTGAACACAAGACGTGTCGTACAGTGTGGCTTGGCAAGAGAGGGGGGGGTATCTAGTGAGACAGCAGGAAATAGATGGAAATTGTTTACTATCGAGGCAGAGACAAGAGGAGGGAGTTAATGTTAACTTGTGTGTACTCATCAGACAGAAGGAGAGAGTGTTAATGTTAACTTGTATGTACTAATCAGACAGGAGGAGAGAGTGTTAACGTTAACATGTGTGTACTCATCAGACAGGATGAGAGATGTACTTTCTATGTACTCATGAACAGTGAGAGTATAGCGAGAGATGTACTGTATATTATTATGTTACCACAGAGACAGAGACAGTGAAACAGAGACATAGAGTTAACGTTAACCTGTGTGTACCCACGAGACAGAGACATAGTGTTAACGTTAACCTGTGTATACCCACGAGACAGAGACAGTGAGACAGATACACACACACTACGAGTACTCACGAGACAGAGACAGTGAGAGTAGGAGAGATTTACTTGTGTTGTATCTACTCACGAACAGTGAGAGTATAGCGAGAGATGTACTGTATGTGTACCGACGACACAGAGAGTGAGACAGACACAAACACAAACACACACACACACACACACACACACACACACACACACACACACACACACACACACACACACACACACTCACACTAAGAGTACTCACTTTTCTCTTGGCCCGGAGCTGGTGCATATCCCTTCCCTCGTGAGCGTTCCCCGGCGCCGTGCGCTTCCACAACAAGATGGAGACAATGGAGTAGGTGACCGCGAGGATGACCAGAGGGATGATGTAGGTGATAAACAGGACGAACATCGTGAAGGTGCGGCGGGCGTCCGGACTGCCCCACACCTCGTTACAGTCGATGACGTCACCGTGGTCAGTGGCACGCCCCACCACCAGCTGGACAGACGACAGGCCCACAGAGCACAGCCAGATGACGCAGATGGTGTATTTGGCGCGCTGGGTGGTCATGCGCGCGCGCAGGGGGAAGGTGACCACGAGGAAGCGGTCAATTCCGATAGCCATATTGGTGAAGACACTGGCGGACACAGACAGGTGCTGCATGAACAGCACGATGGGGCACATGGGTTTGGAGAAGACCCAGGTTCGAATCATCACGTTGGTGAAGGTGAAGGGCATGCAGAAGAGAGCCATGATGAGGTCAGCGATTGCCAGATTGATAAGGAACGGTCGGATGTCTGTGCGTGACCTCCGACCTTTGACGAAGACGATAACCACGAGGATGTTTCCGACGACGGAGAAGATGATGGTGAGAGAGTAGAGGACGATCAGACTGGCCTGGGCTTCCTCCGAGAGGAGATTGGACGTCTGGCTTGTCTCGTTCCCCAACGTCACGTTATCGGTGGGCGGCTGGAGGGTGGTGTTGAACAGGTCCTGGAGCATGGTGCTAGAGGTCACGGACCCCCCGCTCAGGTTCAGAGGTCGCGTGGGGAGGTCGGAGAGACAGGACCCCAGGGGGCAGTCGGACATTGTGGGGGGTACCCTAGTGGTCGCCATTACAGACACGCCTTCTTCTTCACAGACACAAGGGGGGGGGGGGTGAATTATTTATATTTTGTGATAAATGATTATAAACAACTTATTTATTACTTGCTGTAAATTATAACAGACAATTTATTTATCACTTGTGACAAATGATAACAGAGAACTTATTTATTACTCGTGACAAATGATAACAGACAACTTATTTATTACTTGTGATAAATGATAACAGACAACTCATGTATTAGTTTTTCGAGCCAATAGCCAGAGCGGACATTGCTGTCTATCACAGAGCTATTTTATGTGCCACGCCCAGCTGTGCACAGAACGCTCTTCTTGGAGAAATGTTGGCCAGAGTAGTTGTCTCATGTTTGTTCCCTTCTTGCGTGTGTATTCTCTTCAATCATTCTGCGATTCTTGGGAGACAAAATCTGAACTTTACGTCTATGTATCAACACTTTTTGCTCCATGGTCTCCTTCCCCGCTAAGCAAAGCTAGCATAGGTAGGGACAGGTGCTTCGAATCTCCTTGTATGTGGACAAACCAAATCTTGGGGAAAAGTCTCCGATCCGACACAGGGTAGAAAAAACATTCACTTGTGTTTTATTCACGCACATTTCATCTCTGTGTGTGTGCGTCAGTGTGTCAGAGCGGTGGAGTGTTTGTCCCGTGCACGACTCGACCTCTGAGCACCTCGTGTGAGTTCTGTACAGCGTGGTGTGTCACGCGATTTCTGTACAGCGTGGTGTGTCACGTGATTTTGCACGGCGTGGTAGGTCACGTGAGTTCTGTTCGGCGTGGTGGGTCACGTGAGTTATGTACGGCGTGGTGTGTCACGTGAGTTCTGTATACCGGGGTGTGTCACGTGAGTTTTGTACAGCGTGGTGTGTCACGTGAGTTGTGTACAGCGTGGTGTGTCACGTGAGTTCTGTACGGCGTGGTGGGTCACGTGAGTTCTGTACAGCGTGGTGGGTCACGTGAGTTCTGTATAGTGGAGTTAGTCACAAGCGACGGTAGAGTGGAGTTGACAGGGGTTTGGTGAGCCTGTGGGGAGAGGGGAAAAAAGGGTATAGTAAGTTATGGGTTTTACGTTCCTTTAATCATCATCATCATCATCATCATCATTATCATCATCATCATCATCATCATCATCATCATCATCATCATCATCATCACCTTTCTCACCCTGCACCAGGGTATAGGCCACGGACAAACCATTTCCACCTTTCTCTGTCCTGGACTTGCCTCTAGATGATAATCCATGTCTTCCAACTTTTCTGTACTTCCATTTCTGTGATTCTTCTCCAGGCCCCCGACCAACGCTGTCAGGTTATTCGGCCGGATCTCCGAATGTATCGCCCGTCTCCGATAGAACTGAGCAGAAAGGGTTGAAAATCTTGACAACCCCACTAAGCGAGTTCTAGACCTCAAAGTCGGAAATTCGAACCCAGGGCCATTCACTCTGTGACCAAGTATGATGCCTACTGAGCTAACAGGGGCCATTCACTCTGTGACCAAGTATGATGCCTACTGAGCTAACAGGGGCCATTCACTCTGTGACCAAGTATGATGCCTACTGAGCTAACAGGGGCCATTCACTCTGTGACCAAGTATGATACCAATGAGCTAACCAGGGCCGTTCACTCTGTGACCAAGTATGATACCAACTGAGCTAACCAAGCGGGCAAGAGGAGAAACGACTACAGGAGATATTCCACATGAATTCTTTCCCTTGATGAAAAGACTACAGGAGATATTCCACATGAATTCTTTCCCTTGATGAAAAGACTACAGGAGATGTTCCACATGAATTCTTTACCTTGATGAAAAGACTACAGGAGATGTTCCACATGAATTCTTTACCTTGATGAAAAGACTACAGGAGATATTCCACATGAATTCTTTCCCTTGATGAAAAGACTACAGGAGATATTCCACATGAATTCTTTCCCTTGATCGCTTTGAAGGACGAGCGGGCTAACTCAGATCTCGGGGGTTTCCTGAAATCTTGACCTACACCAAAAGTGGGTATTGCCCTACCTATAGGAGAAGTTTGGTTTCATTGGTGTGTATATTTGTTTGGTTATAGAGAAAACTCTCCTTGTCTTTAAAAGAAACTGAACAAGGGTGACAATTCTTACCTTCGATTTTTCTCAAAACAGCATATTTTTTCGAAATAGCCCCTTTGTGCTTAAAGCGACCACATGTCATTATACCCAGTGCTCACTGACAGGCGGATTCACTCGTGTCATGACGCAGCACAATCAGACGCTCGTCAGGTTTTGAGTTTCTGGAAGTATTGGTTGCATCTTAAAGCCCGTTTGTTTGAACATCTTTTAATGAGTAGATGTCGAGAGATTTGCCATTGAAGGAGGTGGGTTGGCCTGGTTTTAGAGGTAAAATTTGCGAGAAAATGATCGCCAAAGATTGGTGATTTCCAAAGCGTGCGAGTCCTTAAAAACTGAAATGTTCCATTTGTTGTGCCTTTAATCACTGTTGTTCAATATAATCCACACAGAAATATGTTTTTGAATAGACATAAAAGGTTTTGAGCCAAAAAACGAACATTACAAAACAAAAGTTAAACTGGAGGAAAAATAGCGATATCTTTGATTCCATTATTTTGACGAGCGCCTGATTTCACCACGATGCCTCACATTTGATAATTCCGCCCCACAGAGTCGGGGCTAGCCAGATTTTCCTCCCTGGGGGGTCAAAAAGCTACCAGTTTGGCTCAATACGACCAATTCGGCTCGCGATCTGGAAAACCAAACGCCTTTGATTTTTGAAGGTCACGGCTTAATCTAATCGCATTCCTTCGAATTGTGCCAAAATTGTAGCTTTCTCCCCACCCATGTAGGAAAGATCTGTCAGGCCCGACATAAAAAGACTCCAACTGGTAGATCTAGTGTGCACTGGGCTTAAAGCTTAGCCAGACTGTGGCCATTTCTGTTGCTTTGATAGCGGCTTTTTAGTCACTGGGTGAGACTACTGCAAGGGGTG